GTAGTAGCAGTAGTAGCAGCAGGAGGAAGAGGAGTGGTGGTGAGTAGGTAGTACATGTTTAGAGGGTAGCCGTTAGTCGTTAGCAGCTAGTAGATAGTAGGTAGTGGTTAGTAATGTAGTGAGTAGCTATTAATCGCGAGTAGTTAGTAGTCAGTAAGTAGTTTTGGCCGTTTGTAGCTACTAGTTACCAGTTATTAGGCGTCGTCGTTGTCGGTCTTGTATCGCCTGTGGAGTCCAATATTATCGTTTCAGAGAAAAACCGAACGGTCCAGGAAATCTTGCAGTTCAAGGTTATGCACTACCCAGCAGCATGAGAGGCCATGGGCGTGTCTTGGGCAGGGCTTGCGCTGACAATTTCCTCGCGAACTCGGGCATTCAGGAGAGCTTTCGGATCCGTCCTCCCTTGTCTTTCTGGAAAGGTGGCTTGGAGATCCTTTGCGGCGCCACGACGTTGCCCTCATGCTCGATGCAGAGGGCAGCTTTTTAAACGTACCAGGTCGCGTAGGGGTTGCTTGGGGGAGGAGTTCAGAGTGATCCACACGCAGAAGCATGCCGGGCATGTGCGACTTCCTTGTGTCCTTACGGTGCAGGTGCACGTTCTCTGCCTGGCCCTGGGCCCAAAGCCTGACTTCTTCTCGGGCGCATCTTACGCGCTCGTCACCTGCACGAGGCATTGCCCAATGGCATCCGACAGTAAGTCTGTGTGTACGTCACGATGTTTTCATGGATTTCCGGTCCCGTCCATCCGAATCCTACAGGCAGTGGCTGAGTAGGTAAGCCTTTAATCTGTTGGGGGGTTCAAAAATCCATGCAAGTCCGTATCTTTGAGCCCTGTCAAAAGCGCACATACCCCCAGGACTCTCTTCCTTCATAAGCCGTGTCCGAGGTTCAGCAAGGGGCTACTTGGTCCAGGGATCTTAGCCGCAGCTTCGCACACGGTGGGCCCAGTAGGGCTTGCGTGATTCGAGGCTTTGTTCTGTCGCGATGCCTACACGCCGCCGTTTTTGTCGACCTTGTCCTACGTTCCTGGGCCCTTGACGAAGACGAAGTCAACCGAACCAGTACTCCTGCACTTGAAGTCAGCGGCCCACGCAACGTGCTTGAGGGCAGGCTCAATCTTGGATAACCAGTGACGAGCCGGAGCCCAGATCCCCTTGCAGAAGATCTGAGACTAGAGTGACGAGAGCGCTCAGGACTTTAGGCTTCGGGGAGGCCCCTCCATGCAATCAATTTCTTCTGCAACGCGGAGAGACGCAAGTCGATTTTTGGAAACGGCCTTTTTCTGTACAGCCCAGCCGGGTTGCATCGGCTTGGTTACTCCATGCAACATTCTTGCACCCAACAGTGGGTTTCCTGCACTAACCCTCTGAGACTCGTGCCAAGCAGCAGGTCACCATCCCCGCCATGATGTTGACTTCAACGTATCTGATGTCCGGCAAAAGGTAGGCTTAGAGCAGGTAGATGTTGACCGTCAGCGGTGGTTGTTTAGGCCAAGAGGCAGGCTGCCAGCTGCAAAGCCTCAAATAAGCTTGAAGCCGAGCAGCCCGGCCAGCCTTATGTTTCACCCGCGGCCCAAATCAGAGTTACAGGAGGCTTCAATGCACTCGTAGGTAGCGCATTAACGACACTTGGTAGACTCGTGGTGGCGTATCACTTTGATTCATGATGAGCATGATGGTACAGTAAGGATTCTGCAGATTCCCATGATCATCATGCTTTCAACAATTTGTTAAAAAGGAGGGGACGGTTTCTTTTGGTCGGACTGTTTTGGCTGAGAGCAGCTGCTGTTGAGGGCTTCGGGTCGCTCGGTTCAGCGCAGGTCTCTACGATCATCCCTGTTGTTCTAGATGAGAGAAGTCGTCCAGTTTGCCGCTATCTAACCTCGCTTGTAGGCATTGATTCTCGCCATGCGAGAGGGGAAAACGCCCTAACCCTCCATAGTATTTGGCAGAGGCTGCAACAAACGAAGGTCCGATGCCATCGGCTTTGTACTCCCAGCCGTACTCGGACGTACCTCCTAGTTCAAGCAGCCCTGAAGGGAATTCAAAGATTCGAGCTCTGCTGGGGGCCGGTTCCGTCAAACAGCTCAGGAATGCGAAGGAGTCCCTGTGGAGTTTCCTTTGAAGCTTTCCAAAGTCCTTGAAGACACAGTCTGGCTGGTGCTCTTTCGTACTCAGTGTGGGCGGTGTGCTTCTGTGCCCGGGCGACTCGGTGTCCGAAAAAAGTCAGAGCCCAGCTGCTCTTGGAGTGATCCAAGATGTCTTGAGCTGGAAGGCATCCTTCAGATCCCTTGAAAACCTGCAGCCCCCCAAACCAAATGAGGCAGTTCTCAGATGGGTAGCTCCATGACCACTCCTGGAAAGTGCACTGCTCCAGTCGCCTGTGGTGTTCAAGCATCAACCGGAGCTAAAGTATGCGCTGCTTCCAAGTAACCGAAGTCAAAAGAAACCGATCATGCTAATGAGGAATCTAGACTCTAGACGGTCCCAGTGTCATACGGTGCAGTTTTTCAAACAAGTGGAGAGCTGCCGGACATTATGTATATATACATATACAGCTTATAACACATGAGTGCGTAATGTAGGTGTGCATGCATGCATGCATGCATGCATGCATGCATGCATGCATGTATGTATGTATGTATGTATGTATGTATTTATGTATGTATGTGTGTGTATGTATGTGAGTGTGTATGAATCTGTTATGTGCCCACCTTATTCTGGAAGACTCGATGGGGCGCAAACTTCGGATGCAATGAAGATCTCGTGCGGAAGTGAAGCCATCCTGTGCAATCGAGAAGCCCGAATTTGGCACAAGATTCGGAAGGACTCTGTTCCTTCCAAAGAAGAACGAAAGGTCGAGTCTATCCAAAAGGCGATTGAAAGTTGTTGCTGCCATAGCTGAAGATGCAGAGAATGTTGAGTGTACACATATATATAGCTGCCAAAGCTGAAGATGCAGAAAATTTTGAGTGTACAGAGAACACACGATATGTCAAAACCCGCAAACTCACAGGTATTCAACATTTTTATCCAGGAGAATCTAGATGGTCAGTATAGAGATAAAGGACCTGTTTGTACTCGCCGACATCGGGGTCGTCGCCGTCGTCATCATCATCATCATCATCACATCCTGAGGTCCCATGCATAAGCCTTCTTCGAGGCTCAAGGGCAGCTCCTGAACGGTGAGGCCGTTCTCAGATGGGTAGATTAAGGCCCGAAGCCGGCGAAAAAGTTTGCGGCAACCTTTCCTATGAAAAGCCCCAGCCCGCAGACCCCTTCTTCCCCAGACCCGGACCTTGACGTTTTTTTGGCCAATAACATAGAGAGGACCTAGAGCCCTAGAGCCAACAGCCGCAAACCCGAGAGCAGGTCTTACCGTTTTTTGTCGTCCTGGCATTCGGGTGGTAGAAGCAACAGCGGTGAGCGGTAATACTTGTAGCGGTGGGTCCCCTGTTTGCGGAGCCAAAACAGTGCTTGAGTCTCGCCATGGTTATGGCATAAGATGCGGATCCGCCGCTGCGCAGCATGGTCGTCTTGACTTCCCTAGCCGTAGCTTGGGTTCTTGTTTCGGGTCGGTAGCATTGGTTCACTCTGGCTGTCCGCCTGAAAAGGTTTCCAGACGGTCTAGAGTCTAGACCCTACAGGTACTCATGCGCAGCTTTCAGGAAGGCGCCCAAACCTGAATCTGAAACTTGACTCTGGGGCCCTGGGGTCTGTGCGAATGCCCTTGGCGTGGTGAACTACTCGCCTGACCTGCGGCTATTCGTGGCAGGAACTCACCAACATGAGCACTGCATGGTCCTTGACTACGTCGTTTTGATGCACCATATCGGTGCATTGTGATTTGCGTGCCTCTGTTTGGCAAACACTTTGAAATCCACACGAACGAGTGTTCAACAGAAGCCGCAGCTGAAGTAGTCCATGATTCTTGGGATTTAACTGGGGGCTGCAGAACACTAGGGGGATTCTTTTTGGATCTTTCGGGGGCTTCATTTTTTGTTTTTCTGAAGCTCGCAACTACTCTTTCGCTGCTCCTTATCCCATTCTCCGAGGCCCGGCAGCCGTGCCCGGGGCCTCATCGGTATGGTGTTCTTGCTAAGGCACTTAGAGAAAGCTATGGTTAAAAAGGGCGGCTAGGTTGAGGTTGCCGTGGGGGTGCGCAACTTCAGCGAGTATCTCGAACTCCAGCTACCGTGCAGTACTATGAAGCCGAAAGGCGCAGCACATCTCGGAAAGTTGTCCTTGTCGTAGACTCGTAGACATTGCAGCTGCCACTTTGGTTGCAATCCCTGCGGCTGGTGGCACCAGAACTGCCATCACACCGAGGTCTGCATGGAAGAATGCGCTGCACACCTTCGCGAAAGCGAAAGCCCAGAGCGGCTATGTTTTGGACTCAATCGTTTGTGTGCGTGGGGGTGTGTGGAGGTAGAGTCGACATCTAAGTGCGCATGCGCAGGCTGACTTTGGGTCCAAGCCTCCGGTTTCTTGGATTGAGCCCTTGGAAGTACACGGCTGTTGTAGGTAGCTGTGCAACTGTAGGCTAGATGTCTAGACACTCATGGTCTGGGCGCTGCAAGGGTGCAGCTATGTGAGAGGGAAGGTGAGACAGATGGGTAGCGGGCTATGGAGCCCGGAAATTGAGCACCTTCTCTCGGATTTCCAAGGCTATAGCTCGCGGGGTGATGGTGCCGCCTCCGCCAAAGCCGATTGCGGCAAGCTCAGTTGCTCGGTCCATGCGGTGGGTTTGTGATTCTGTCGGGTTTGTGGAGCAAGTTCCAAGCAGAAACGGGCTTCTGGCAGATTTGAAGGCATCGCATGTGTGTGCCCTTGTCAAGGTTTCCGGGCTGGCTTGAAATGCGTGTGCTGGCATACCTACCTTTCAGCAGCGCAGTAGCAGACTCGAGGGTGTTCAGTGTTAGAGAGAGAGGTGTTCTTTGGGGACGGGGTTGCAACGATACACTCGAGGGACGTGAGGACTGACCGCTGTGGACCTTGCCCACACCCCTAGCAAGCAAGCAAGCAAGCAAGCAATAGAGAGAGAGAGAGAGACAGAGTGTCGAGCACCTGGATGGCAGTACAAGCTGTCTCGGTGGTGACTGCCGTTTTCCGAGAATCGCTCCGCCACGGTAGGGGGCGCTGACGCGCGCGGGTGAGCGGGGCTTGCTCCTCTTGCCCCTAGCCCTGGCGACAGAATTAAACTGAATTCAAGAAAGAAGGAGGGAGATAGAGAGAGAGAGAAGCTGACGCGCATACGCTAGCCAAGGGGTAGGCCCTCGGGCCAGGCACTGGGAGCAAGCACTAGGCACGCCAGA